TTAGTCATGTGAAATTAGAACAATAAATTTCATTGGTCAAAAAAAAATTGATGTTCATGATGTTACACGAAACTGATCATTTTCCTAAAGATTTATTTATACGTACTGGTATGTACAATTAAAATAAAAATTAATTTGGTTAGGCGGTTTTGTCCCACCTATTAAGGCCATCTGAAGTTGATTATTAGGTTAACGCCCCCCCCCCCCCCTCTCAGTTAACTGTCCCCCATGCCTGAGCCCAAAATATTGACGTTAACCTATAACCTAATAATCAACTTCAAATGACCTAAAACCTTTGAGCGAGGTTTCCTAATAACTATCTAACAGAATTTGATGGAAAAGTTTTTTATTTAAATTCTACAATCCGTAGAATTTAAATAAAAAATTTCATCGAATTTGGTTAGATATTATTTCGCTTTAAGTCGGAAAAAAATTTAGGTACAGTTTATTTATAGGCGGAATAAATTTTCTCAAATTTGAGCGAAGTTTTATCAACAACAACCTGACCAAATTCGATGTTATTTTTTTATTTTAATTTTAAAGGCATATAGATTTAAATAAAAAAATTTTCATCGAATTTTTTTTAGGTATAAAGTTCCCTTAATTTTTAAAAAATATTAAGTCATAATAAATCTTTGAGTGAATTTTTCTTAACAACTACTTAACCAAATTGATGAAATTTATTTTTTTTTTAGGGAAATTTATAAATGAGGGCCCAAAAACGTAAAATAATTACATATAGGGGCCCTATTTTAGCTAAAAAGTATCGTTATAGAAACTTGGCGAAAAAAAAAAAAAAAATCAATTTGAAAAGATGGCTGGTATTTTAATTAAAATAAAATCGAGGGGTTAATATAAATATGATGAAAATAATGTAAAATTTTGTATATGCATGATTAATTTTAAAATAAGAAATTTTAAATATTTTTCTATTAGAAAGGTAATTTTGTTTTAAATTTAATTGATTTTAGAATGCGACAAAAAAGATCATTATGTAAATATGACGAAAAAATAGTGAAAGTTCGAATGTGCACAGTACAAGTAATATGATTTATTAATTAGGAGATAATCAACAATTTATGAGAATAAATGTCGCAGGGTTTAAAGTATCGAAATAGTACAGGAAACCAGACAATTTGATTGGATTGTTAAAAGTGGGTTAAATCATCTCTGGATTTATGTTATACTTACTCACGTGGCTAGAGTTTGGGAACTGGGTTTAATTTTATAACTCACACGTGCTATAAATTTGAATTGACATATTCATTTATCATAATATTAATTAATCCAAACCCATGATTACAACCGATTCTTATAAACTTAAAAGATTCAAGTCAAAACCAAATAACAAACTTACCGTAATATACATGTTAAATTCTAGCCTTTAAATATTTCGAAATCACAAATAAAATGTATGTTTTACATAATATCACATTTGCCAGTATCTAGGATCAAAGTAGTTAATCGCGATTCATTATCTCATGGTTATAAAATTTAGAGATTAACACAAAAAGAATAAAACCTTGTATTTAAAGAGAGATTGTATTTAGAGAATTTTTAAGAATCGCAATTATAAGATGTACACTTATAAAGAATTGACTTTTAATTTCTAAAACAATTATTATGTACTTAAAAATAAATCTGAAATTATCATAATGTCAAGTTTCTTTTAAACATTTTATACGATTTAAAATTATATTTTAAGTTTGTACTTTAGCGTAAATGTGACGAATGTATTTTAACGTTATGGACGAATTTTATTAACATTAAATTTTAAAATTAATTTGTATGATCAAAATAGAAGAATTGATAATTGCATTTTATTCAAAACACACGATATATTGTGACAAGAGTTACAGAAAATATGAATTATTATAGCTATAATATCAATTATGTTATTCCTTACTAATGCTGCACGAGAATAGAAAGCAGAAAGATAATTGCCGCACGAGAATAGAAAGCAAAGAGAAGATAACTACTAATGCTGCACGATAATAGAAGCAAAGAGAAGATAATTATTTTCCTCTATACATTTATCACATGAGTTTATCTTCTTGTTGCAGTTATGTAATGTGTTATAGTCGTCATTACAGTCTCTGCTGGTGTTGGGGCTGGAGTTATGTAATGTGTTACAGTCACTGTTACTCGTGTTGGAGTTGGAGTTATGTATTGCGTTACAGTCACTGGTGTTGAGGATGGTTGTTTTGTAGATGACTTTGAAGATGATTCTGTTTCACATTCGTTAAGATTAATATCAGCGATAGATATACTACTAGTACGTTTCTTATTTGGTAATAGTTCAGAAATTACTTTTAATACGTTACTATTACATAACTTTTTTTTCACCTTTAATCATTTCCTTCTTATATATAAACACATTAAA